TGCTACCACTTGGAACTCACAAGACTGCCATTCCCACGAGTCCCCTGGGGCGGGGATGGCAGACCAGAGGTCTTGCTTCTCCCTACGAGACTCACGAAATCGTAATGACACGATTGCAAACAAACCATACCACGGGCGAGATTTGAACCCGCGGTCAGAGAGTCTCAAAACTCAAGACCGTCGCGTTAGCCACTGGACCAGCTAACCTATGGTGTACAAATACACCTAGTTGGACGAATCTTATTGAAGCTAGCTGGCCCAGTGGCTAACGCGACGGTCTGGAGTTTTGAGACTCTCTGACCGCGGGTTCAAATCCCGCCCGTGATATGGTTTCTCCCTACGAGCCCCGTGAGGGCGGGGAATGGGGCTAGGCCTGGGGACAGTTGGTCCCAGAAGATGAGGAGGTACTTGTACTTCCTCCCATGACAGACATAGGTCTCAGACACTCCCAAGAGAGGGAGTCAAGGCCGGGTCACCATCTGGAAAAGACCCGGACTGGGAGAGTACTGGCAAATTAAGAAGAAGAATACATAGATTTTTAATTTAGGTCAAAACTTCTCAAGGCTCTTGATGCTAGAAATTGAAATTGGACTTCCCTTTCCTCGGATCAAACCTGATTATCTCTCACGCCTTTCATGGTCCCATGAATATAATATCAGTAACAATATTGACATAGAAAGAGATGTAAGCCACAGTGTCCTCCATGGCAGACACTGCAAGACTCCAGGCGGACATCAACCAAATCTTTAACTGGGCTGTAGAAAACAATATGAAATTCAATGATGAGAAATTTCAATCACTCCGCAATGAAGAACTCGAGGAAATAAAGCTGTATCGGAGTATATAACAAATTATAAAAACACAATAGAGCGAAAAACTAATGTGAAGGACCTGGGAGTGATAATGTCAGAAGATCTCACTTTCAAAGATCACAACAATGTATCTACCATATCTAGGAAAATGATAGGATGAATAATGAGAACTTTCAAAACTAGGGATGCCAAACCAATAATAATTATCTTAATATCGCTTGTTCTCTCTAGGCTGGAATATTGCTGTACACTAACAGCACTTTCCAAGGCAGGCAAAATACCTAAGTTACTGAGAAAGGTTGAAGACTTTGACCTGCCCTCCTTGGAACACAGAGGAGAAAGATACATCATAATTTACACTTGGAAAACCTAGAGGGACTAGTCTGAAATCTTCACACAGAAATCACCCCTTACAAAAGCAAAACACTCGGCAAGAGATGCAAAATTCCGTCAATGATAAGCAGGGACGCCACGAGTACGATGATAGACAATACAATAAGTGTCAGGGGCCCAAGACTGTTCAACTGCCTCCCAGCATACACAAGGGGGATTAGCAATAGACCCCTGGCTGTCTTCAAGAAGGCACCGGACAGGCACCTAAAGTCAGTACCTCACCAGTCGGGCTGTGGTTCCTACGTCGGTTTACGTGTGGGTAGCAGTTACAGCCTGGTTGATCAGGCCTTGATACACCGCGAGGACTGGTCACAGACAGAGCCCCGGGGGCGTTGACCCACGAGACCCTCTCCAGATATACTCCAGGTATAACCAGTAATTGGAGGGCGACCGTGTTTGATCCGAGGAAGGGAAGAGGTGAATAACTCCAGTTTCTTGGAACAAGAATCCTTCGAAGGTTTACTGAGACTGATGCTACGAAACATAACTTAATAAAGCTCTATACAGAGTGAAACATGACTTGATAAAGCTCTATACAGAGTGAAACATGACTTGATAAAGCTCTATACAGAGTGAAACGTGACTTGATAAAGCTCTATACAGAGTGAAACGTGACTTGATAAAGCTCTATACAGAGTGAAACGTGACTTGATAAAGCTCTATACAGAGTGAAACATAACTTGATAAAGCTCTATACAGAGTGAAACATGACTTGATAAAGCTCTATACAGAGTGAAACATGACTTGATAAAGCTCTATACAGAGTGAAACATGACTTCACAAAGCTCTACACAATGAAACATGACCTGATAAAGCTCTACACAGAGCATCACTTGATTTGAAAAAACTCTGAGCTGAGGGAACCGTTGATCCCAGGTTAAAGTACTGGTACATTGCATCTTGTTGCACAGTCCTCTATGCATGGCTGTTGCGGCGCCGTCTGTTTAGATAAGTTGAGCAAAATCTCCGTATTCTGAAACACATTTGTAATGTGAATGTTCCTCCTTGAGCTATCTTTCTTAGTGATGGCACGACCTCAGCTTCTCTTTCTCTCTACTTTCTACATATGTTTTTTTTTTTATGTGATTTTGCGACCCAAGACTAGAGAGTGTGTTCAAGATGCATCTGACAAGTACATGGCAATCAGTATTTTTTCGTAGTGTTGTCTGTAATCTATATTCGTTGCTACGACGCCTGGTATTCTGTTTTAGCTTAGTTGCTCTCTCTCGTAGACGTTGATACGTTGGAGGTCGTTCGTGAGTTAGGTTATAGTGAGTTAGGTAGGTAACAGCTTTTAGCTTGTAAATAACGTAGGGACTGTTAATCTAACCCTATATGGGGGGGGGGAGAAACCCCTTGTGTGAAAATAGAGAGAGAGAGAGAGAGACAGCGTGGGGCAAGCTTCTGTACCACAAGACGGGCAGTCAGCAGCACCTTCAGAACATCACTTCATCTGAGATCATTTATCCCCAGGATGACTCGAGTATGGAACACATTCGTACAGCATTATGATGTCAACGAGATAAAGTCAGTTGATCAAATGAAAATTCTGGCCTACAGATGGCTCCAACTTCATCTTGTTCCCTACTTGTATGTCTCATAACAATAAAAATGCTTACAAGTGAGCTGATGTAGGTAACAGCTCTTAGCTTGTCAGTAAAGTTAGGAATCCTTAACCTGTAAATAGCTCGTCAGTAAAGCTAGGGATCCTTAACCTAACATTGTCAGACCCTGTGTAAAAGAGAGAGAGAGAGAGAGAGAGAGAGAGAGAGAGAGAGAGAGAGAGAGAGAGAGAGAGAGAGAGAGAGAGAGAGAGAGAGAGAGAGAGAGAGAGAGAGAGAGAGAGAGAGAGAGAGAGAGAGAGAATTCAGTGACCCGCAGGGGGAGATGACTGACACGAAGTAGCGGGGAGGGGGAGAAGGTGACGAGTCTTCCCAAGGCTCCTCCTCCTTCATCCATCCATCGCTGCAGCACACGAGTGTTGTACCTCCTGACTCTGGGTGATGGAGAGTGACTTGCAGATCTAACCAGGAAACCCTCAGATATTGCTTCCTCTGTAGTTAGCTGGCACCTGGCAGCCAGTCTGCTGTCTGGCTTCCTCAGAGACGCAGACACCTCGTCGGGGGAGACATTGCAGACACACACACACACACACACACACATACACGTACACGCGCAGCCAGACAGCCAAAGGAAGCAAACATCGTCCCTCGGTCATCGAAGTCCCGCCCGCACATCGAAGTCCAAGACATTGACGGTCAACGCGGGATTAGAAAATTTTAATGGTCACCTCGGGTCTGGAACCTGGCGTTCAACGGGGATCCAGGAGAACTTGACTTCCAGCGGGTGCCTGCGAGAGCCTAACGTCCAACGAGTGTCCCTCCAACTGGTGTCCCTCCAACGGGTTTCCCTCCAACAGGTGTCAGAGCCTCAAGACGCTGCAACCAATCGGTTTGTTGATTCTTCTTCACTGTTACTGTTGAATGGGAGTGTATGGTTGCTAGTTAAGGGCTCTTGATCTAAGGAAGTGGAGCTTCTCTTTCCCCTTCCTTGGATCAAGGATAATTGCCTCTCATTAACCTTGCGCTCTATAGCTCCTGGTTCTGGGCCCTTGGATCAAGAGAAAACAATCAATTATTTTATTGTTATGATCATTCTCATTTGATCACATTTATTCATTCGAGGTAAGTGATGATAGATAGATAGATAGATACAGATAGATAGAGAGAGAGAGAGAGAGAGAGAGAGAGAGAGAGAGAGAGAGAGAGAGAGAGAGAGAGAGAGAGAGAGAGAGAGAGAGAGAGAGATCGCATGAATTTCTCGCTACGTTGACTAATACAGTTATAAAAAAATTAAAATTACGTTATTTATGACTTCAGATGGTACAGTGTGTTGGTTATGTGGGTGTGTAGATGCTCACCCAGTTGTACCTACCATGGTACAGTGTGTTGGTTATGTGGGTGTGCAGATGCTCACCCAGTTGTACTTACCATGGTACAGTGTGTTGGTTATGTGGGTGTGCAGATGCTCACCCAGTTGTACTTACCATGGTACAGTGTGTTGGTTATGTGGGTGTGTAGATGCTCACCCAGTTGTACTTACCATGGTACAGTGTGTTGGTTATGTGGGTGTGCAGATGCTCACCCAGTTGTACTTACCATGGTACAGTGTGTTGGTTATGTGGGTGTGCAGATGCTCACCCAGTTGTACTTACCATGGTACAGTGTGTTGGTTATGTGGGTGTGCAGATGCTCACCCAGTTGTACTTACCATGGTACAGTGTGTTGGTTATGTGGGTGTGCAGATGCTCACCCAGTTGTACTTACCATGGTACAGTGTGTTGGTTATGTGGGTGTGCAGATGCTCACCCAGTTGTACTTACCATGGTACAGTGTGTTGGTTATGTGGGTGTGTAGATGCTCACCCAGTTGTACTTACCATGGTACAGTGTGTTGGTTATGTGGGTGTGTAGATGCTCACCCAGTTGTACTTACCATGGTACAGTGTGTTGGTTATGTGGGTGTGCAGATGCTCACCCAGTTGTACCTACCATGGTACAGTGTGTTGGTTATGTGGGTGTGTAGATGCTCACCCAGTTGTACTTACCATGGTACAGTGTGTTGGTTATGTGGGTGTGCAGATGCTCACCCAGTTGTACTTACCATGGTACAGTGTGTTGGTTATGTGGGTGTGCAGATGCTCACCCAGTTGTACCTACCATGGTACAGTGTGTTGGTTATGTGGGTGTGCAGATCCTCACCCAGTTGTACCTACCATGGTACAGTGTGTTGGTTATGTGGGTGTGTAGATGCTCACCCAGTTGTACCTACCATGGTACAGTGTGTTGGTTATGTGGGTGTGTAGATGCTCACCCAGTTGTACCTACCATGGTACAGTGTGTTGGTTATGTGGGTGTGCAGATGCTCACCCAGTTGTACCTACCATGGTACAGTGTGTTGGTTATGTGGGTGTGCAGATGCTCACCCAGTTGTACTTACCATGGGTCGATTCTCAACTCCTGCTACCTCCTGAATTTTTTTGTTGTGTATGTGCGTGTGAATATGTGTCAAATTACTCGTGTTTATTCACAAGTTATGTTGGTGGAGTCTGGGTTCCAGTGTTTATAGAGCCATTATCCTGTGTGTGAACAAATATAAATATACAGAACTCTACTGGCTCTACCAAGAGCCTCTCCAAGCCCTGACTTTGTCTATATCCATGTCCTAGTTACCCCCCTTCAGTATGCTCTATTTATTTAGAAATACTTTCAGAAATACTTTAAACATCTGGGGGTATAATTTGGGCCTCTTATTTTCTATTTAAATAATATAATTACACAGAATATTGGTAGCCAGTAAGAATACTTTTTCAATTTTTTTTTACTCCAGAGCTCTGCGTAGGATCGAGTCTCCGCCATCTCATCATGTTTGTGCAGCTGGTGCTCTCATTCTGTCTCCTGGTGGCGTCGTCGAAGGCGAAGATTGTCACGAGCTATGAGGTCCCAGTAAATGTTTCGATTCCAGCAGCCCAGGTAGGTGGTGACCCAGCTGGGCAGGCGGTGGTGGCTGCGGTGAAAAATGTAATTAAGAGTATTAGTGGGGGAGGACCTGGTGGAGACGCTGTTGGAGATGTAGTCTCGGTGGTGTGGCCCATATTTCTCCAACAGTTGGGTGGAGCCGAGGGCCTGAAAAACCTGATTTCCGACAGCCTGGGGCTTCACGAAAACTTCTTGAAGCCAGTGGTGAAAATCCTCGATGGTTTCAACAAACTTGCCCAGTCTTCGTTTGGGTCTGTCAGTCCTGGCGACAACTTTTTGACGGGTAACCAAAACGGCGACAGTGAGAAGACCTCTAGTAATCTCTCCGCAGATAATGTAAACATCAACGAACAGATTTTGGATCTGGTGAAGGGGGTGTTTGAGGAGGAGCTCGGGGAGCTCCCATTACTTTCGCCTACGACTGCTTTAGGCTTCGAAAACGCCTCGAAGTTGAATGTTGGCCTGGAGATAAATACCTCTAACGTGTGGATGCTGGTCAAGTCGACGTGGCAGCGAGTCATAGCCTATGTTAAGGACGAGAACGCTCTTCCTTATTTCATGCAACTAACCCCAATTAAAATCATCGACCGAGTTCTTAACCTCGGAGATGACTTGAATCTCATGAACTTCCTGGCTAAGAAACTCGACAGAGATTTCGCAGAGTTCATAGCGGAGGAGGTCAACCCGTATCTCGGTCCCTTCAAGAACTTCGACAGCTTCTACAACTTCACCAAAGAAAACGGCCTCAGCGGAATCCTTGACTACTTCAGAAGTAAGAGGTTCGGGGACACGATAACTGCAATGTCACGTTTCGTCTTTGCTTACTTCGATGACAATTTCTCGGATGACATCGCAGATCAGTACATCTCCTTCATATCATTTAACAACACCGAGCTGTACAACTTCTACAGGTCACTACTGAGGAGTCAGAGGACTTCGGATGAAGGTGGGAGGGTGAAGAGGGAGGAGCTGGAGAAGACCGCCAGGGAGTACAAGTTTAATGGATACGACTTCCAGCCCAAGAAACCTGAAAGCGGGTCATCCCGGGAGCTGTCTCGGGACGGAGGGTACGGAGGCGGCAGCACCGGAGGTGGCGGCTATGGAGGTACAGGAGGCGGTGGCGGCGGTTACGGCGGCGGTGGAGGTGGTTATGGCGGCGGTGGCGGCGGTTACGGCGGCGGCGGCGGTGGTTACGGCGGCGGTGGCGGAGGTTACGGCGGCGGCGGAGGCGGCGGCGGCGGATATGGCGGAGGCGGTTACGGCAGCAGCTATGGCAGTAGCGGTGGCGGCTACTCGAGCAGCGGCGGAATGATGATCGATCCGTCTATGATACTGAGTTCGGTGGCCATTGGGGCTCTCTTAGGCTTCCTACTCTTCCGCCTCACCCGCGGCACGCGCCGCGGCCGCCGCGACATCGGCGATGGGTCACTCTCTCTCTGGCTCTCAGACATCCCCGACAGAATCTTACCCTGGGGCACCAGCGTCGAGCGAATGAGGCGAGACGCACACAACTTCAACCTCACCGGAGGAGAGGAGTTCGATCTGCCGGAGTCCCTCAGGGGAGATGTGTGGTCCAGCGATCCTTTGGTCGGAGACGGACTACTGGAGGAAAAGCAGAAGCTGGGCGAGGACGACATCGCCGACCAGCTGAACCATCTGTGGAGGGTGTACAAGCACAGCAACGAGACCACCTGTGTACACGACCACCTGTGCAGCTTCATGGCCAACACTACAGCAGACCAACTCACAGGAAGAGAGTCAAGTATACCTCTTCTGATGTGAGTATTCTTCTTTCTTCTTCTTCTTCTTCTAATAATAATAATAATAATAATAATAATAATAATAATAATGGTTTCATTAATCTCGTGTGATGAGTACCTTGTGTAATCACACAATAAAGGTTTACATCACACTAGAAGGGTTCACCTCACGCCAGGAGTTCGCTAAGCTTCAGTTTTCTGGTTGTTTAAGCCCCTAAGCAGCGATCTGTAGCACTCCTGTTATTACTGCTCAATTACCTTACCCGATGTAGTAGTAGTCATGCTGAATATATCATCCTCACGGGCCAAAAAACACCACGCAATACACATTGCATCATGAACACTGGACGATGTACACCGGATCACCATTGGAGCGGCGTCCCTAATGACACTCTCCTTGTATCCTCACTAATTTTTGTTTTGGTTTTTGTTGCAGGGCGAGTGTTGGCAACATGTTGGGTGTTGCTGGTTCAGGACAGCTGATGGATGATATTACTCAGGTCTTGATGATAGGGGGCGGCCCTTATCCCTGCCTCAGTCTCTCACCCTGCCACTTGGAAGGGCTGACCCTTCCAGCAGGGGTGTAACTCGCTGGAGAACAGGCCACTTTTTTCATGAAAACATTCCCAAGACACCTCTGGTCATTCTCCGGCTACATATCGCCTAGGCAACGCTTCTGAAGAAAGGAAGGTCATTTTACAGCGAATTATCAATTCAGGAGCTTTTCTACAAGATCCTCTGACGTTCTACTTGAAAATCAAGGCGGAAATTCTGAAAAATTCCTTGTCGTCCGTTGTCTATGAAGGAGATTCACAGCCTTTACATCCAAGAATTTCAAGGTTTTGCCGCTGAAGCATCTAATTTATTGTGCACCGCCTATATTGATCCTGTGCACAGTCTATTATTGGTCATGTGTATGGTAGTACAAGAGCATATAGAGCCTAAAGATTATCGCAGAATCTTGGAAAGAAAAAACTCGTGTTTCCTCCTGGTTGTCATATGGATTGTTTTGCGGCTCTCCAGTCATCTGTCACTTCCAGAGGGACTTCTCTCAGAGAGTCCCACAGGATAATGAAGGAACTCGAACAGAGCGATGTTCTACAGGTTACTGAAGGAGCTCAGAAACACTCGCTGACGTCCAGTAGGGTATTGAAATGTGCTCAGAGAGCTCTGAGATGTACTGGAGACTGTGTCTGTAGGAGGAGGATGCTGTGGTGCGCGTTGGGGGAATTTCTGCAGGAATTATCTGAGAGAGAGAGAGAGAGAGAGAGAATAAGAGGACAAGAGCTATACTGATGGGACAATTTATCTTATTTAACGGCAAACACTTTATTTATTTGCACTTGCTGTTTGTTCAAGTATTTGTTTGTTTGTTGCATGTAAATCTGTCTCTTGTGTTATGTGTTTGTTATTCGTCTGTATTTGTTTTTTGCTCTGTAGATTATTTTTGTTGAAACACACACTCACACACAGACACAGACACAGACACAGACACAGACACAGACACAGACAGACAGACAGACAGACAGACAGACAGACAGACACACACGCGCACACACACACACACACACACAAAATCCCCTCTACCCGTTTTCTATATATTAGTCCGTGGGAAGCACTAAGCCCGTAAGGGAAGGGAGAGGAGGGGGGATCCACACAGCACCAGGAGGAATGGGAGGCACTCAGCTGCGATCCCAGGAAAACGAGGGTAGCTCCAGGTGCTCGGATCAAGAGCCCTTCACCCATAGGTTATTTACCACAGTATCTCTCGTCACAGAATTATATCCAATTATATTGATTATATAATTATATTACGTTTTTCTTACAAAAAATTATTATATTGACGATAAAATAATTATATTCTTATCAGACGTATATAATTCATGCTAAATATCAATAATTGTTATAGGAGAACTGGGAATTATATACGATTATTTCATAACTTAAAATAATCAAAAATTTTTGCACAATTTCTGTTTGTTATATAAAAAAAATGTTTTTGGAGACATTAAAAATGTTGAAGAAATTAATGTGAATCTTTAACCTTGAATCTGTATGTGTTGAACTACAGTTCTAGGTCTTTCGTGTTGCAATTAACACGTCAGGAGCTTGCAATATTGCAGAAATGAGTAAGAGATCTCAGCAGATTATATATATATATATATATATATATATATATATATATATATATATATATATATATATATATATATATATATATATATATATATATATATATATATATATATATATATATATATATAATATGAGTATGTCGCATCCTAAGTAACATGTGTGACAATATCTACGTATGGAGAACCTATGGAAGAACATTGAAGAACATCCAGGTGTCAGCAGAACAAACAAGTATAACAACAAGTGGGCAGCACAAGTTCTGTCACTATTCCATAAACTAAAAGTACTTTCATCAGTGTCTCTAACAATTCGACCAGAATAACTGGCTTCTGTAATGTAGTTGAACCTCTGGGTTCAGTGTGAATCAGTGTGACATGACTCGCCCCTCACCTGTTCTTCACCTCACTGATACTCACTACCTCACATCATCTCCATCTGAAGTCAAATTGATTTGTGTCACTTGGTAAGCACAATATCTCACACTATTACCTATCCTGCGTGTCAGACACTGCTGAGAAAATTTCTCACTGAGTTAACTTTAATTCATATTTTTGGAACCAGTATCGAAGCTTTCTTGACTGATAGTGTACGAGCGTCATGCAGCCTGAAGGGGCACCTAACTTCCCCACTCTTCTAATAACATTTTCATTTTTTCCACTATAATCTACCTTGTCCAAAATTATTATCGTATTTGAGCTGTCTGTTTCGTAAGGTGAAGTCTACAAACTTTCCCTAATTCATGGTATAACTTAAACAAATATTTGAGGACAATTGTGTTGCAGAGGTCTGAGCTGTGTTCAAACTTCTGCAACACAAAGATTTGTTAAGTTATACCATGAATTAAGGAAAGATCCTGGACTTCACCTTACGAAACAGACAAGGCAAATGTGATAGTAATTATAGGCAAGGGTAAATATGTGGGAAAAATGAATATGTTATTAGAAGACGGGGGAACTTACGTGACTGTTAATAATCCTCATGAGCCATGAGCACTGAACCTAGGAAAATGGCAGCCTAGTTAGATGAGAGAGCAGTTCTGATCCTTAAGTATTTGTGTGTGTGTAGGGATGGGAAGAAGGGCATATCAAATACTGAGAGACTGTTCCTTTATAGACAATTCTGAATTTTAAATATAAAATAATTCATTTTAAAATAGAGTAAAAAAAATCTCTTTGACCCTCAGTTCAATTTTTTGTTACACTCTCATTTGCTCTTTCATTAAAAAAAAAAAGATGAAGGTAAAACGAATTCCGGGAAGGAGATTCCAGAGCCTCCAGGACCTGGTAAGTTAGAGCAACATATACGAAGTCAGGAGAGAGATGTTGCCCTGGGCACTCGCTACCCTACTCACCCACTAGATAAATCACTTAACAAATCACTCTAAAATCCGTACAGACAGTTATGTGTATAAAACGGATGATTACTATTATTATAATCATAACTAAATGCTAAACCCACAAGGGTCATACAGCGTTGATATAAAGGATGAGACAATCATTCTTATATTTGTACAGTGGCTGTATCAGGACGACCAGCTGACAATAAGGCAACCAAATCAATAATAGTAGCAGTGGTAGGCTTAGATTATGATAGTCATACAAGGACTGGTGGTAACAACCAGGAGAATGACTGGTGGCGCTGTAGCAACGCGAGTGGTTAAGATAGTAACAGTAGTTAAGATGGTAACAATACTAATTCAGTAGAGTTAGTTGTAGTCCACGTCTACCATCCACTTTATCTCTCCAGCAAATCCCATGCTAATTTTATGTAAGGTATGGCATATTGCTCCCAGACTTCCATATTTTTCAGGCCGTCAGGGACCAGAGTGAAGGATGGACACAACCTTCACTCATACAATGATACCTAATGTACATAGAAGTAGATAGTTCCTCTGAGAAGACAGTCTCTGTGTGGACTTCCAAGTCCTCTATTGTCCCCCTTTTCCATGTAGTACTATGTACTCTGCAAATTATGAAGGACTCGTGGAACCCGCGCAGGCATCCACAGTAACCTTATAAGGCTCTACTGAACCCACTTTGAAAATCTCTACTCTATTTTTTTAGTTGATGGGAAGTCACACTGGTGAGGAGGTCATGTATCATGGATGATCATGACGGACGTTTGTCATGTGATAAGTGTCGACATCACCCAACTGGAGGATCATGAGCAATCTCTCTCTCTCTCTCTCTCTCTCTCTCTCTCTCTCTCTCTCTCAATAAACTTTTTATCAGCAGGTTAACTGGGATTTCTGTCTACTATACGAGGGTCATTAAGGCTGTTATATCAAGTGTTCACTAGCAGAAAGAAATGTTTTAATGCTTGAAACAGTGATTAATGTCACCTCTCAGTGTATATATTCTGATATACACCTCTCAGTGTATATACTCTGATATACACCTCTCAGTGTATATACTCTGATATACACCTCTCAGTGTATATATTCTGATATACACCTCTCAGTGTATATACTCTGATATACACCTCTCAGTGTATATACTCTGATATACACCTCTCAGTGTATATATTCTGATATACACCTCTCAGTGTATATACTCTGATATACACCTCTCAGTGTATATACTCTGATATACACCTCTCAGTGTATATATTCTGATATACACCTCTCAGTGTATATACTCTGATATACACCTCTCAGTGTATATACTCTGATATACACCTCTCAGTGTATATACTCTGATATACACCTCTCAGTGTATATACTCTGATATACACCTCTCAGTGTATATATTCTGATATACACTTCTCAATGTATATACTCTGATATACACCTCTCAGTGTATATATTCTGATATACACCTCTCAGTGTATATACTCTGATATACACCTCTCAGTGTATATATTCTGATATACACCTCTCAGTGTATATACTCTGATATACACCTCTCAGTGTATATATTCTGATATACACCTCTCAGTGTATATACTCTGATATACACCTCTCAGTGTATATACTCTGATATACACCTCTCAGTGTATATATTCTGATATACACCTCTCAGTGTATATACTCTGATATACACCTCTCAGTGTATATACTCTGATATACACCTCTCAGTGTATATACTCTGACATACACCTCTCAGTGTATATACTCTGACATACACCTCTCAGTGTATATACTCTGATATACACCTCTCAGTGTATATACACTAAGAAATATACGTACCTCTCCGTGTTTATGACAAGTTTTCCTACCTGGTCCTCCTCCTGTCGTCTCTAGCAGAGAACAGTTCTAAGCTTGTAATCGGTAGTCTACAAACATTCAGTCACATCCAAAACTATCTCAGTTTTGAACATTGTAGTCCATGTGTATGATTTATATACATTTTTGTTAAGGTATACACTGGTAGTGTATTTACATTATAACTGTACAATAAACATTATACCACTTTGCAGCTCAAATATTTACGGGAAATGCAAAAGTTATATATATATTTTTCGTGAGAAGAATTTACTGAAGAAAAAAATTGCTTGTGAAGAGGAGTGATGTGTAACTCAGGTGATATGCTGGGCATGATGCTCACCCCGAGGTCTTTCTCCTTGAGCGAGGTCTGAAGCCTTTCCTAACTCTTACCCCTAGCCTGTACTCCGTTTGGGGTCTTTGTTTATCCCCACTCTTCATAACTTTGTACTTGCTGGGGTTGAATTCTAGCAGCCACTTGCTATACCGGATCTGCAGCCTTTTCAGGTTTATTTGTAGTTTTTCCTGGTGCTCAGTATTCTCATTACTTTCACATCATCTGAGATCAGGGATACCACTGACTCTATCCCTGCCATCAAATCATTCACTTAAGAAATTGAATCAGGCCTTGTTCTGATCCTTGTGGAAACTCACTCGTCCATTTTAACACCTCTCTTCAAACATTCACTCATTGTTTCCTTGCTGTTAGAAACGTCTTGATCCACTGTAGTGCTTTTCCTCTTATTTCTGTCTGCTCCTCTAGCTTCTGTGTCAGTCTCTTGTGTGGTAGTGTATCAAAAGCCTTCCCACAGTCCGTGAAAAATGCAATCTATCTATCTTTCCCTTCCCTGTCTTACT